TCAATCAATCACAATCTGTGTACCTGAAACCGAGTGTTACCCAAGCTTAAGAAACAACACTGGGTTAACTGAGATAAATACACTCAGTTACATATTCTGTAGTAGTAGTACCGGTACTAATGAAATACTAATAGCATGGTAAAACCATACATATACCAGAGTCTGTTATGAATTGAAGTGATAGAAAAATTCAAACAATGCTTCCAATGTTTAAAGAAAAGAAGCAAATACTTTGACAAGCTGTCAGATATATGTATTAATACAATGAAATGTCACAATGCAAGTTAGGTATACCACATATCAACCTTGTCTGGGTCAGCAAGGAATAACAACAAAGTGTCATCATAAAGCCTTTACTCAGATGGCATATTGATATTCTTATCATTGACGAAGGAGCTCACTAACTCTTCAGTGGTCATGTATTAATATTGTCAATGCACAAAAGGTTCAAGCATGTCAGTGGCATGAACACCGAAAGTCACAATTCACAGGAAGACTGTCATCATAGTTACGCACACACAAATATAGTCGTTATCAATGTTCTCACCCTGGATGAGGCAGAACTCAGAAATGGAACATCAGATCCATCTATCATGCACAAACAGTTGAATACTATCTTCGGCTACTGGCTCTGGCGTTGCTCAGATATTCCTCACTGGGGGCTCCATTGTTGCAGCCATGAAATAGTGGTGCTCTGTAATAACCACAGGCTACGGGTTGTGAGGTCAATATCTTTTATTCCGTAGTGGGAGAAGTAGTAGGAGTAGACACTCTTAGATCAAAACTCAATCTTTAAAACAGTCCTCATGTAGAGACAGTGTGGTGCAAAACTGATTAGTTACATGGCGGTGAGAAGTATATTTGAACTTACACCAATCAACTGAGAAGCTGAACCTGGGCTATTGTTAAAACAACTAAAGACAATGACATAAAAGTAGATCGACCCAGATACCCTTAAATACACAATGAACCAGCCCTGTAACACAGAACTGAACAGTTCAGGCCAAGACAAGATGCAACTTGATTGACAACATATAACATATATATAATGTATAGAGAAGTCGTCTGTCGGATCACCTGAAATAAGAATAAAAATGAAAATGATTAATTAAACATGTATGTACACAATATACAATCCCTGGATTTATCCCTGTTACACAGCGATGGGATAAAACCAGGTAAAGTCCTTCACCAAGTCTACCACAGTCGGTCATTTGTGGAAAGGCTTTCTTGGAAACCATGCATGGTGTATATATGCAGTGTATGGAACAGACAGAATAGCAATCCGACCGACTCCGGATGAAGTCGGCTGGTCTTAAGTCCTAAGTGAAACAGAGGGCTCCAATTTGGTGCTCAGGACTGATCACCTCCCACTCGCAATCAACACAAAGTGATTCTTAAAGAAAAGATTTGCATAAAATGTTGATGTGCAATGAATTGACTAAAATTGTCCAACACCCGGTCGGTGGATGCCCTTCCTTGGCACAAACGACATGATGTCATGGCTCGTTGCTTCTACTACCAACTTCGCCATTTCTGTGGCTTTGACTTAGATGTCCATCCATGGTACGACCCTGGACATGTCCATGTCAATGGAATATGTTTCATTATCGTCCGCATTTTCTGAATTTAAATGCTCATTTACCTTTTCCAGATGATTTTGATATTTTGGAATAGGGCTACATAATTAGAAGAGGAATGTTTAAGCAACGGTTCACGGGGTGCATGGGCAATATCTGATGTATCAGTTAAAAATAGGTCTTTAAGATGGTGAATGCCCTTGAATTAGAGACCCAGGTCGTATCTATTCAGCTTCTTAAATTTCATATCACCGGCCAAACCTTCGATTGCCTTTGCCATGCATCTGGGACGAAATTGGTAAGGACACTAGACCAATTATAGGGGCTGGTGAAAGCTCTCGCAGCCTCGTTAGAGAACAAATCTTCAATTCGTGTAAAGGCTTTCTGAGTCGGGGTGCCATCGCTCCCCACCCACGATGGAGTGTCTACCAGGAGGGTACACTGAGGAGGAAAAGCTCTGTCTTACATGACTACATTTAATAATAATAATAATAATGTGTCCATTTATATAGCGCCAAACTCCACATTAGGTATGCTCATAGCGCTAACAATCAAGGCACAGCACATTATTACCCCGGATAACCCAAGCTGTCTGTTAGGCGCTAGAAGGTTATAGTCATATGACTTTTTTCCACCGGGTACCCATTTTCCTGCTGGGTGAACAGAGTCAATTTGAACAAACTCACTTGCCTAAGGTGAGACCACATGTGTCACATGTGCTTCGTTGTGGGGCAGGACTCAAGTCCTAAAAACTCTCAGGAGTCAAGCTGCCAAACACGATCACCCATCCAAGGACTCTCCGAGCTCGACGCAGCTTTACTTCACCGATTTGTGACCTGAGCTTTGAATCTGTTCATTTAACAGCAAGACCTAACATATTTCAGCTGCACCCGAGCAACTGTCATCAGACTGATGCAACGACTAGGATAAACAGGCAAAGCGTCAGACAGGCTTAGAAGTCGTCGACCACGCCACACCCTACAATTCATCTGAGAAATCGTTTTGTAACGACGTCGTCAACGGCAGGACATCAGTCAACATACAGTGTATCGACGACTAAGAACATGGTATTCGAGCACGTCGACCCAACCGCGGAGTGCATCTGACTCTTCAAAACCGACGTCGTCGATTTAAATGGACCAAGCGAGTTCGACGTTGGTAGATGCATCATTGGCGACGTGTGATGTGCACCAACGACAGTAGGTTTTGCCTGTACAGTGATGACGATAACGCAAGGCCTCATACAGCAAGGCTGACAAACGACTTCCTGCATAACGCTTACATCGTTGTTTTGCCGTGTCCAGCATGTTCTCCCGACATGAATCCGATAGAATGCATATGGGACTACCTGGATCGACAAATCAGAAGACTACCAGCGCCACCTGTCACCGCTCAACAACTGGAACAATGATCCCTACCGGAATTGGAACGGATGATGCCTAACGTCATTTGTCGTCTTACGTCATCAAAACGTCGACCTGTTTCGACGTGCGTTGAAGATAGTGGTGGTCAATCGAAGTAGAAGGAACAAAACCCTTTCCACATATGGAAGAAATTTCTGCAAAAGCAGAGTCAATCGTACAATTGTGACAATATCATGAGTATATATTTGTTTCAGTAGTATTACAGCTATATGATGTTGTTTGTAAACAAATTGAGTCTTCGACATGCAACAATCAACCTATACAATGTATGGGAACAGCACATTTACACATGCTTTTCTTTTCTTTTCAAGTATGGTCAAACACACTTTTGAGCACTAGTTTATGTTCGCAAAATTCAAGTACGTGGATTATCAGTGTTTTTTGCTGCTCTGAACCGCTGACATTCTTTACCAAGGTATATGTTGACTGGCAGGCTATTATTTGCAGATATTACTATAGATAGCTTCTAGTATTATAAATATTGTATTAATGATCAACGCCTGATAAAACAATCAATAGTTTTTTCACCATTTTGAAGCTTATCTATATTGCTGATCGTCTAGAAAATAATTAGCTATTCGAAATACTTCGCCACTCAACTAGTTATCTCATTTTAAGATCATATGCTTAATGTGTGTAAAAAATTGTGACAACCGTATCAGTGCTCGTTGGAACAGAGATTATAATTCCATCCTAGCTTAATCTTGTTGACAATTAGGGGTGATGGGTAGCCTAGTGGTTAGAGCGTTCGCACGTTACGCCGATAACGCGTGAGTTCGATACCCATATGGGTACAGCGTGTGAAGCCCATTTCTGGGCCCCGTTCCTCAAAGCGATCGTAGCGCTACGACAGTCTTAACTCCCATACTTTAACACAGACTTACGACTGTCGTAGCGCTACGATCGCTTTGAGGAACGGGGCCCTGGTGTGCCCCGCCGTGTATAGCTGGAATATTGCTAAAAGTGGCGTGAAATGCAACTCACTCGTTTGCCATAAGACCAACGCCGTTCACATGGGTGTGGTACCCAACGCACAGACTCATACGTTCATGATTTGTTAGGCTATCTTGTAATTTAATGTATTTATCTGTGATTATGTATGGCAATTGCTGACTGATGATGTTGTTATTAAAATCAAACTGCCAAAAGGAAACGGTACATTGTGAACTGATAAACTAATGATAAACTGATAAATTTCTTATATGTCAGTTAAAAATACAGGAAACTTCGTTTCTAACGAACTGACGAACTGACGAACTTACGAACTTACTTACATTTTAGTCGAAATACGGTTATAAGGAAATAACATTGAGTTCGTTATAACCGTAGTATATTATCATAAAATGAACAGGTGATATAATATCACATGTAGATAATATAAACGAAGTAATATTTAGTGGTGGTGGTCTTATAATATAATATTGACACATCACGTTATAAAAATGCAGATCACGTTATAGAATGAGCAGATCATATCCTAATATGATATTTTGAATGAAAGACTGAGTATATATTCACTTGATTGTTCAAGAGACACATAGAATTTCTTTCATCAGAGGTCTTTATAGAGCCTACCAAAGGTTTTATGGTAAACATGCTGGCTCTAAAATTTGTAGCTTTACCTTCTTAGGGGTTTTAACAGAAATAAGGCGGTGTCCCATATCTAACTTACCCGTGAAGATCGGGTTAGAACTGATCTTCAGCAACCCATGTGCTTGTCGTAAACGGCGACTGACGGGATCGGGTGGGCATGCTGACATGTCCCAAGGGCATAGATCGATGCTCATCCTGTTGATCACTTGATTGTCTGGTCAAGACATGATTATTTACAGACCGCCGCCATATGGATCGAATTTTGCGGCGTTAGACAACAAACAAATAAAACTCTTACTCTTAGATATTTCTTAATATTACTAAAACGGGTTTTGTTGTCGCGTCCATATTTCTTCTTATACACCTGTCGCATCATTTCAGGAAATATTTCACCACCGCAATGTTGACTTTGCCTTTAATGTATAATTCCAGGTTAGAGGGGAACCTAGAGCAATTGTAGGTAAGTATATTTAGCAAAACACGAACAGAAACAACAATAAAACTTCCATTGCTATTATTTCTTGATTGCTCGGTGAATCCTCTTCTAAGCATAAGGCCACAAAAATAAATTTCTTGTTTCTCATCCTTTTATTTAAAAATGGGTAGGTAGGGCGGATTATATTTTTTCCTTTTAATATTTTTTTTCTGATTTTCTGTACAATGTTAGTCGAAAACTTTGAATGCCGGAAGCTGAGACGGATTTCGGAAGTCTGCCGGCTTTATATACTCGAATTAACCTGAGCAAGATATATAACAAAAATCGGGTCGGGCCAAATTTTAGTGTCGGGCGGTAATGAGACACAAGAAATTATTTTTATGTGGCCTAACGGGAGAAGAGATTTGTTTTTGCCTCAAGCGCTTGTAAAATACCAACAGGTGTAATTGCAAAAATTACACCGGAAGTTGGCTTAGACTTACCGTCCTTGGTCGGTAACATACAAAACCAGACTTGCTTGAGAGCGTTCATAACGAGATAGATTCTAAAAGTGGGACTGTAAATGCGAGGGCAAAATATTGTTGAAAGTTGTCGCTAACTCCGACAACTGTTTGGCCCTCAGGTAATGAAGGTAAGTATTTATTGAAATGGGTATCATGAAAACGTGATTAATAATTACATTTAATGTATTTGTCATACCGTTATTATTCTATTCATTCTCGTACTGCAAGTCCCCATGGTCCCTAGTATGGTGATCTACCTTCAGTTGCTGGCGATCTATTGCCAGCTTAATACTGTGCATTGTCCTTGTAGTGAATTGTGTGTATTTTAACAGTAAATGCTAGTTTTAAATATAACTGTGATACTCTAGTTGGTTTACTGTCCCTTGAGGACAGGTTTAATGTTATATTTTACATTTATTCCTTATCAATGTCATATTGGTTCTCGTCACGATATGGCTGAAATATTGCCGATGTAACGATAACTGTTAACTCACTCACTCACCCAATTCATTCTCATTCCATGTCAGTTGTAACCGCTAGATCCGGCTGCTCATGGAACTGGTTGACATATCGGTATGTTAAGATTGGAGCGGATTTCTCTGTAACTACACTGTACGATGGTGAGAGTTTGGCGGATGATCTTGGTGTAACCAATACATTACAAGGAAATGGACCCAGCAGCTTTTCGGATTCTAACCTGTACTTCATTGAAGTCACATTTGCACCCGGTAAGTCGGCTACTGTTTACCCGTGAAGATCAGGGTTAGAACTGATCTTCAGAAACCCATGACTGTGGTAAAAGTCAACTAAAGGGATGGGGTGGTCAAGCTCACTGACTTGGATGACACATGTCATCGTATCCCAATTGTGTAGATTGATGCTCATACTGTTGTCATCGAAATGCACATTAAAAGGCGAAATGCATACAGTAATGAAATGTCTGTTAATTACATAAAAATGTGTATTGATAAAAACAATTTCTGTATTTTTCATTTCATTTCAGAGTTTTTGACAGTTTTTCATTTTAATGTATTACGGGATTAGTTAATGTGTTTGTCATTAACTGCAATGTTGGTGACCTTTGCCATAAACTGATACAAAAACAAAATGGAAGCTGGCATCAGTTTTTTTCTTGTTTTTAATCATAAATAATGTTATACCGTGTTTGGTAATTGCCATTGCGTTTGTTTCGATATATTCTCCACATGCATTCTTTTTGTCGAGTCCATGAAAACTAACTCACTCACTCACTCACTCACTCACTACTCACTCACTCACTCACTCACCCACCCACTCACTCACTCACTCACTCAGAGTCATGTAACAGCAATCCCAACATAGCCAGATCATTCCTGCGAATATAAGTCACATATTTCGATTCTGTTCAGAGATTCCTATTTTGACATATTACTTTCCTTGCAGGTAAAACAACCCCGACCGCTTTGAACAGCCTGACTCAACAGATCTTACGTCTGAGAGCAGACTTACTCAACCAGGATAAAAAATTAGCTTTCTACAAAGTCCTGGGACAAGTTCCAGCACGGGTAAGTCACAATTGCAAGGGAGACGTTAAGTATGCCGGATCCTGAACACCCCAGAGTACTGAGTTGACTTCCTGTTGCTTGCGCTGAAACCACTATTCTAAACGTTTCCATCACGAAGAACTATGTCCATCTTGAACAATGGAATTGCACGAGAATGAAGATCATGGAATTGCCTAACTCAAGCAGTTTATCTCTTCATTCACACAGCACCAAAACCGGATAGTAAATCATTGAAATATACGTAAATACAGTAGGAAATACATGCCATGACCGGGTTTACGTATGTTTTCAGATATTTCCTAACTTCGGGCATATATTTCATATGAATCTATACCTTTGAAACATATGCTCATCGCTACATTTTCGTATGCACAAGCACCTCGTTCATGTATGCCCTGACCGGATTGTCAGGGATTTCCAAATATGAATTGCAAAACAGATACCCCGGTAAATACATGATCATACAGTATTTCCAATGCATTCCTTTGAATTTCAGTGGGTGCTGAAATTTCCGATTTCGTTCTAAGTTTACTCGGGTTGGAAACATGTGAATTTACTTAGGTGGGGAAACACATGTAAATTTTCAAATTTGCAAATGTTTACACACCTTAGATATTTATGTATCATACCGGATTTCAGGGGTATGTATATGAATGGTTCATACACCATCATGTTACCTGTATTCAAGCAAGATGATCATATGTTTCCATCATGTGAATTACTTGGCTCATGTAATTTCACTTTCACACATATTAGTACGTTTGAAATCAACGTTCACATGACCTCAATATTCTTATCACCAAAAAAACTGACAAAGAAAGCGGTATTACGCAAGCTAACACGCCTTATTAAGCTGCACTCGCTCTTGCTACCAGTATCAGTTACGCCTTGTCTGTGGTGTTGGCAAACCTTGTGAGGTGCATGTTTCGAGGGATTGAAAGGTTCAGTGGTGAACAAAGGGCGATGCGTTGCCCCTTTTGTCCTAGCAAGTGTCCCTAGCTGCCCCAAAAGAATAGCACTTTATCTCTCTTGGAGCACAATCAAATATGCTACACGAACCAACTCGTAATTTCTTAAGTCTGTTCAGCTCGCGCATCACTACTGTACAATAATTGTGGCAGTACATAATTGGAATATTATTGCACTTGCTGTAATAACGCCATATATAAACTTTAAAGTTTGTTTCACTAACGCAAAAGTATACAATAAGAAACAATGCCATATCAAATTATATATTCTGTGAGACATGAAATGAAAAATTGTTTTTATCGAGTAGCGATTATGACCGGATAGCACAGGCGGGTGCGTTCTCTGAGTATATCATAGACATGTTGGATCTCCGTGCCTTTTGTGAAATTCGTCTATATTGTCCTGTTTAAATTGACGATCCATAACTCAGATTGCGAGTAAATATCACGTAATTAATTGTGATGTCGCATTGTTGTAAATGTCCCTGTCGAAGAAGTCATTCTCACAAGATGTATATTCCCTCGTTTGGAGAAGATCTATGGCTATTACGCCCCAGTGTTGCTAAACATTTTATAGGCCTTTAGTCTGATTCAGACGCGGACATCGCATGTTCAGGTTCTGATCTGACAGGGGCTGAAAATATCATTCCGACATGAATACAATATCTCAGTGTTTTCCTAAGTAAGTGGAGATCTTTCTACAACATTGGAAATAACTGTATCGTTGTCCTTCTGATATTCCCCCGAACGAAAGCTCTACCCATTTAGGGTACAATGTGTAAGTTACACAATTGTAGGGAATAGTCTTAAGACTTTTCTACTTTGACCAATATTCTTCGAACTTGTAACAGTCGTTTGAGAAGATCAAAAGAGAAAAGGGTAGTGCGCGATGTATCTGACGGACGTATATGGAGAACGTTCGAAGAACTTTATAAATACAATAATAGAAATACCGGTTATGTTTAAAACGCACCTTCAATCTGATAGCCAGAGGGATTATTGTGAAAGATCGCAGTATGTATCATCATAAACGGGCCAAGATAAAAGTACATGTCATTCATCTCTACATTATATCCCTTTTATAGACACGGGACATCGTTGTTACAGGTAGGGCAAACACTTTCTTCTAAAGTATCTGCCGGTTTCACGCTACATACATGTGTTCAGATTATCGAGAAAACTAGCGACGCAAGTTCTCCTCCATCACACCAGAGACCACATAATCTATCATATGGCCTTTGATCACACATATAATTGTATAGATACCCAGTGTTTATTGGTAGCGATGAAGCAACTTATCAAAATTTACAGCCGACAGTATCATCTGCATTACTCTCTTACATAAGGTGAAATATCACAGGGTTGTCATGGTAACGATAATTTGGCATACTATTTATTGTGTTATTCTTTAATCTGTGATTAGAATTTAAATCAGTTTTGACGTGAGCATGTTAAGAAAAGAGAAGCTGTAAAACGAAATGTATTGTGATCGAACCTATAGGCCTTTGTAAAAGCGCGAGTTTCAAGCCACCTACATAAAACCTGTTTTCATGATAAGTATCTGCTAATCCGTGGCACGATTCCGACCATATCATGGGCATGTGTTTGCGAATCATAATCAAATAGTGATGTTACAAGCAGTCCATGCCGCGTCAACAACACATGCAAACAGGGGCGTAGCTACCATTATAAAAAACAGCTTGAGCATTCACATGATCTTTGCTAAAAATAATTTACAGTAAATTACAGTAAACAGGTTATTCTTCATATCATAACTTTCAGTGATGATTGTGTCTCCATCGACATGTATGAGGATGTTTTGTTGCAGTCATGATTATATGTGAATCATCACTGAACTGCAGTTGTTTATTTATCATTTGTTTATCAATTATTTTAGAAAAAACACCAAATACTCGATGTATGGCATTGTATCAATGCAGCTGACATGTATACAATATGTCCAAACATATTTGTATATGAGGAAATCACACTTAAATTTCCATGGTGGTAAGACTTCCGTCCGTAACCCCCAAAACACGTTAAAACTCATCCTTATCGGATGAGGAATATATATTTAGGTGATATGATTTGACTAGAATGAAATTTAAGGGGGGGATACAAGCGGAAGTCTTTCCACCATATTTTGAAGCTATTGAAATCATCAAACGTCAAACGATAACTCTTCAGGTCTCATAAAAAATGAAAGTTGGGCAAGCCCTCAATACCACCTAAACATAAGGCTTTGCAGCCCATATTGCTTACACGAAAAAAATGGCTTGCTACGTGCCTGGCAAACGCACGAGAATTGCAATACGGGCCTCTAACCACTGATTCTCCGTGACCTGGAGACACATGTGATTGAGCGTGTGTTGGGACGTCGTCTGTCATACAGCAAATATATCCAAGCACACGCAAGTCTACAAAATGTGGCAAGTCTAGATTTCCACAGCTTCAGGAGAAAGTCTCAGGGCTCCTTTTCCTTATATAATATTCTTTTTTTACTATCAACTTTTTTTCTGTAAAATATGTTAATATCAGAGACTAGTTGTTAATCTAGTTCTGACGGGTAGAAGACAATAGACAAAATGGATACTAGTGCTGTTACATTTTTTAATTATATATAAACATTCGTCCTTGGCTCGGGATAAATGTATATTTTCCACCAAATGTACATTCGGAGGATATCGAAATCTAGGTTAAGCTATTTGAATCATATTTACAATTAAAAGACCCAAACAATGGTGTGTTGTCCACATTTTTGGTTTTCCATAGTCACAGAACGATATTTTCTCCCCATCCGTCTCTAGGAAAACTCACTGCAGGGTTCGGGTTATGGAGAGCCATACCGAACACCCACAGCTGGCGGGACCAACATCTCCAGTAACATTTACATCTGCCAACGCTTAATTCGCAAGTGGTGAGGCAATAAGCTAATGAGGCTAAGGGTCCTGTACCATGTTTGTGAAATATCTGTGATGCCTTATATGAAGTCTATCATCTAAGCAAGTCTAGCTATGTATGGCGTTAAGTCACTGCTTGAAGAAAGGCTCCTTTAGAATTTTATCTGGTCAATATTAGTATTTCCATCATATCGGAAAATACATAGACTAACGCTTAGTGTCTGAATATATATAATTTTGATAGTAACAAACAAGCCCATTTAAATTGAGCCCCAGGGAGACACGAGATTCAATCCGGCTAGCCATGGCTGCAGTTAGCTATAGATATGTTTACTTTGTAACCCGACCCCCAAAGTGAGTTAGGGTTCTTGCAGATGTTAACAGACCCTGGACCTGAGGAGATCTAGACTTGCTTCATTTAAGGCTTTAGCATTGCAGAGAGGGCTTGGCAGTAGGGGAAACAATGTGGTTCAGGGACTGTGAGACAGACTATAAAATGCATGGCAACCTACACTTCATTGTGACTATCATTTTAAAACACAAGGGTTATTTCCTTTGCGTTAACTGACAGGCTTTCGGTGTCAAATTATTTGGAACTCCAACCAAAGGTTATGGTCTGCTGTCTGGAAATATGGCTTTTTTGTAATGCCATAATGATAAGTGATTGTTGTACATATGATGTTTTTGAAGGATAATAGCAGCGTACTAATACTTTGCACGTGTTTCCCCCCACTCTTTCCATACCCGTAAAAGTTAACTTTCCAATATATGCCTGTAAGAAAATACTGTAAAGTAATGGGATTGCTGAATTTGGCCACCGGAGGTAGTGACCACAGCACTCTGGTTATACTGCATTGGGAGAGGACAAGCTTGGCAAGATGCCAATAAATATGCTTGTCATTTAAACCTTTATCTGATATTTGTGGAATGTGATTTTATGATTGAAGATGCTTCCTGCACATGTAGCCCCAATGTAGATGTTGTTATTCTGTGAATCTTCCAAATTACTTCGTCCCTTTCTTTCAATTGAAATTAAGATCTTTGCCTTTTATCAAAATAATATATTTTCAGTCTTAATGTGCCTTTGTCGGGAATCAAACACCGGCTTTTAACCTGACATGCGAACGCTTTA